TCATTGCTGTCTCCACCCAAGCTCACCACCACAGTGCATGCAAAAGTGGCAAGAAAAAGATGAGTTTCCGTGCAGCGCCTTCGCTGTCTGCAACGATATATTAAAAAAATAAAAGTAAATAGTACACACATTGATGCCTACTGATATAATGAAGAAAAACAACAAACAAATAAACAAAACAACATTGACAGCCACAGCTGTCACAATAATCTTCAGCTCTTCGCTGTTGAGTTAAACCAGTCTAAAACTAATTAAAACAAACACTGGTGTTTCGGGACCTCAGCCTGCAGCCAAAAATCCACCCAGGCAAAGCAAAGCAGCATCTTGGCAATCTGTAAATGAAAACAGGACATCACTTACACTGAACAGTTCACCACAGCAGGAATATCCCTGTTCACAAGTTAGGGTCACACCCTAATAAGTATCGGCAAGTGGTGGCGGAGTCCACTACACATTTCTCGGCAGGAATAAAACAGTGTTTCCTTCTACAAGAGTAAAAATGACTTTAAGCCTCTGCCAAACTACAGAAACTCAAGTGGGACATGTTCTGTTGCCTAAAAGGGGAAAACCACCGACAAAGGTCAGGTCTCACCTGTCACATATAAAAAGAAGAATTTGAAGCAGCTATTCCAGAGAGTTTAGACTTTCAGTCATTTTTTTTCTGCTTTTGTGGAATCCAATTAAGAATAATTAAAGAGACTAAAACACCAAATAATTTTTAATGATTTCATTATTACTATATTGTAATTTATATTTTTGATGGCACAGCAGGGTAAAATGCCTGTGCCTGTAAATTCAGCCTACAGTGTTGTTAAAAAGTCTTTACCCCCCTTCCTGATTTCAGAGACTGCGTCTTCTTCTTTTGGCGTTTACTGGGCAGCTGGCATCCTTGTTGATGCATTGCTGCATCTTCTATTTCAGTCCATTATTACACTCTTAAATCTTACTTCTCATTCCTTCGTCTTTCAGGATCTTGCCAAGCTTGAAACGACCCGTTAACGACCTATTAAATTAGTCATAGACGATTTTGATAGTCGAGGTAATCGTGACTAGTCTACTAATGGTGGCAGCCTTATTAGTTAGAAAGCAAAAATGAGTGAATGTGGCATGTTATTTGTTTTTATTAAGGAGTTGTTTCATCATCTTTTTCTCTATTTCTCTCTTCAGAATTCCAACAGCTTCATGTTTGTGGGAAAGAGGAGGTTCTGACAGAACAGCAGGTCTTTAACCAGGAGATGATCTCCAGTGTGGACCAGGAGGATCCAGAGCCTCCACAGATAAGAGAGAGACAGGAGGAGGAGCCCTGCAGCAGTCAGGATGGAGAGCAGCTGGGAGTGAAGCAGGAGGCTGACGGCGTCAGAACTGATGATGAGTGGCTCAAACTGCTGGCGACCACCTGGAAACCCGAGATAAAGCTTCACAGAATAGGTTTGTAAAACTGGGATGATTCACAGGAAGAAATAAAGGTCAGAACTTTAATAAGCAGCAAGAATGAA